TATCACTGTCACCAACATCAACAGTTAGTTCTTCTGTTTGTATGTCTATTACTTGCTCACTGATCCCTATTTTTAAATATTTAATCTACGCCCCTGATAGAAAAACTGATGAATGAGGGCTGCAATCTTTATACCTAAAACTGCCTACTTTTGCTAGCGCGCATCCACGTCATTTTAAAATTTTCGCCAGCTTCCAGCGTCAGGTCTGTACACATATATTACAAACAGACAGGGGTGGGAACCACAATAGTAATTGAAGATCAAAGTGACTTCTCGTTTGCAATTAATGGGGTAGTAATAGAGCTTTTTTAGATGTTTATCTGTTTTTTTACAAAATACCTTCACCAAAAATCTAATTTTTCAATAAAAGCGAAACAGGTGAAAAGGTTTTACATAAATGAAAATTTGTACAAAATTAATTCGGCGCAATATAAATTTAAAAAAGGGCGTTATGAAAATCAATAAGAAATAGGCGAAGTAGATTGATGGCCACCTTCTCACACATGAAGGGCTAGTCAGAGGCATATGCGAACCAGAAACAGGAGTTGAAAGAGGTAGACTCGATTACTGTTCACAAATAGTTAAAGAGACAAGATATAAGAAAACCGTATGATGATGATGATGGTGAAACATAATCTAATCATTTTACTTAAGAGTTGTACATCTAGCATTATTTTTGAACACTTTAATTGCAATTTGAAAAAGCAATTTGGAGAAAAATAATTAGGTCCCCTTCCCTCAAGATAGAACCTCGACTGTTGGTTTTGGAAGAATCAACAACTAACAGTTTTCAGTTGTCGCATTCGTATATTAAAATGTATTCCCGTTTGACCTACATAAGGCTTTAGAGCGAAGCCCTAATAGTTTTCTCGCAAGATGGAGGAGTCAGAGTTTGTTAAAACAATCGTTATGGGTTTTGATTTATTAAGTAATAAATAAATTTATTAAGAGCTAAAAATAGCGTACGGAATGCATTTGTTAGACGTTTGTCAGTTTTTATTTTGCAAAATACGTTGACCAAAGTCTATAACTAATATTTGTCGAATAATTTCGCCTCTATCGGTTGTTTCACGACACCACAAAGCCTTTTTTGTTGATCTTATGGTATAATAAAGATGATACAGATATTTATTTTATGTTCAAATCCATTCAGCGTGTGCCGCGTTTATTTAACCGCTACTTTTTACCTACGCGCTATTCTATTCAGTTGACCTAGTCTGACGACGTGGTAAAAAGGTATATATATTGAAAAAGGGCTACGGTGGTCACAGAAAATACACGTTATCGAACTCTGACTGGTCAAAGAGTTCAAAGAAGGCAATCGATTGTTGTTCGTTTATATATAACATGTCCGCAAAGTTCGCAAAAAGTGACATCGACCAGTGGGGTATCAACGGAGTACGAAATGATCAAAGGGACCTCTTTACAAAAGAACAGCACATGTACACGTGTTTGAGGTCACGCCGCGAGAGTACAGAATACCTTTTGCTGTTGAGGATTTTATCACTGACTACATCATCAACGTGTACTTTAATAATGGCTGCGTTTTGCTTACTTTTTTATTAACTAACTCAATAAATAATAAATGATGAATAAAAATCAATTTACGTTATTAATAATGATTTATCATTCGCTATTAGAAAATACCAAATCACAAAAGTTTTGTGTATAAAATTGCACTATGCTTTACAATACTATATTATTGAGAGCTATTGAATATTAATTGAAAATACTTTCGGTATTAGTCAAATAGCTTATTAACATCAGGTTTGGAAAACAAAAGTGCAAAGTTGAACATTTTACTTAGACAACACAAACATTTTAATTAATGTAATGATTGAGTTAATCAGTTAATAGATAACTTATTGATAACACAAGAAAGCTTTGTATAGTCAAGGGTAAAATGACACCTTTTCCCCACCAATCTTACCCTACCAATCTACCCTCTCTTCCGAACAAACATTAACCTATAGGAGAACTCTATTAACTTACCCTACTTTACCTTCTGAACCTAATTTGCCTATACCTTTCCTATCAATACCTGCCCAACCACCCAATCCTCCCAATTCGCTTCCCTAACTTTATATGCCCATTTATCGAAGTTCCAATAAAATTGATTTTGGAATGTTCAGTAAGCTATAACTGTTTTACATTTTGAGATTTTATCAATGCCTTTTGCTTATCGATCCGTATAATTCAAATTAAATTTGGTCTAAATTGAGAAACTAGTAATGACTACCTCTTCTTATAGCTTGTTTTATTAACCTTTTCATTTTTTTTGTTAAGTTATGAGTTGTTCAGTTTTTCAGGTTTCATATTTGCAAAATTTTCCTATTAAGTGGCAAACGAAGGAATATAACTTGCCCCTGCTTTTTTTTACTGAAAATAATTCTTCAGTTAACTTACGAGATTCCTGATGCTAAATTTACGTTATAGGATTTGACGAATTTCCTATTTACTTAAAATCGCGCTGCTTTTGCGATAGGTAACTTGAAAAAGTCAATCACTTGTCAACGAAGTGACGACTCTACATTCATTAAAATGTATTTTTAACTTGTTCGAGATACAAAGACAAAAATAATTGCATATTTGCATTAAATTATTCTGTCTAGATTTCTTCTACTGTCACCCTATTGTCGTTTGCTTTCTTTAGATTGTTTTTTTGTTTCGCTTCTACTATTAAAAAAAGCGCGCCCACACTGATCGACGAGTTGTCTCTTTCATATCTAATTTGTACACGAATAGGGTGTGTAACTGACGTTGAATTCTAAAGAGAAAAGTGAAAATAACGCCAGTAATAAGAAGCAAAAGCAGAAATTAAGGGAAAACTGAATTGAAAACAATTTTTAGGTATACAGAAGCTTTGAGCTTTATTACGAACAGAAAAGGAAAGTTAATAAGGTAAAGAATATGCCCTAAAATATCGTATTACGGAAAACGGCTACAAAAATCTAATTTTTCAACAAAAGCGGAAAAGGTGAAAAGGTTTTAGATAAATGAAAATTTGTACAAAATTATTTCGGTACCATTTAAGGCAAAGTATTTAAAACAGGGCGTTGTGAAAATCAATAAGAATAGGCGAGATAGATTGGAGGGACACCTCATTACACATGAAGGGGTTGCTAGAGACATATCTGAAGTAGAAACAACCTCTCTCACCGGTAGACTAGATTACTGTTCACAAGTCGAGTTGATGGAGTTTCGAGAAATGCAAGTATTGGCTGATTGAAGATGGAAAAAGACCATCGGGACACAATCTAATCATTTTATTTGTGAGTTGTTTACCTAGCGTTATTTTTGCAAACTTTAATTACAATTTGATAAAGTAATTTGGAGAAAAATAATTATAAGCCCTCGCAAGATGAAATTTCGGCTGCTGGTTTTGGAAGAATGCACAACAACAACATTTAAGTTGTAGCATTCCTACATTCAAACGTCTTCTCGTTTGACCTACATATACCGTTGGGAATAGCCGACCAAGATTTTTNGTATCTGAGATTAAAAACGTCTAAATGAGGAAAAAATGAGTCTAAATAGTTCATTTGAGGATAAAATGAGTCCCAATTTTTCGACTCGGGATAAGGGAGGGTAATAACAAACTTAAACTCTAAACATTAGGGATTACAGAAACTCGCGAATTTGTTTTTCAGAAGAACTTGGTACCATCTTAATACAAAGGCTAAATTAAAGTTCTATTTTTGGATGTAATAATTATTATAATCTTAGTTGAGGGAGGAACATCATATTGGAGTGTAAGTGTTATTTGTCGAGAAATTTCGCGTTGTTGGTTATTAGTTTTTCAGACATTTCTTCTGACGAAATAGGAAATTTTCCGCGAAGCCGAAGCTGTTGCCGCGAAAATTGCAGAGGTTTTGTAGTCAGAAGTCTTTTGGGAATATAAACAGGTAAGAAAGAGCGCTTGGAAAACAAAACAAAAGACGCTGCGAAAAGTTTAAGACGAACAGCACTCTTCAATATAACCTCCTTCTTTCCGGCGCCTTCCGAATAAAATGCGCCGTTATCTGGAATAACTTTCGCCGTCGTTTTCCAAAGCAAAGATAAACAAGTTGGAAATTGGAGCAGCAAATTCGTCTGCTCCTGAAGTGGATGCAGAATTTTTCCCGTTCATAATTGAATTTGACTGCTTTCGGGCCCCACTTTTAAATAGAATGCATCTTTACAAAAATTGTACTTTCTATTACACAATACTGCTTGTTCTTCTTCCTGTTCGACTCGATTTCCATAAAGTAATTAACTCGTCAAGTTAAAATTAGTTCGGAACTCTTACCATTCTTGCTTCATAATTTAGAATACTTTTATAGGTACTTATCTGCATAAACTTTTCATGATAAAGCAAAAAAGTGCCTCTAGTATCAAGCCATTAACATTTTACCGTTTAAAACGTTTAGCTTACGTTTTGAGGAAGATTATATATTAAAACTGTGGTTTAGGAAGATACGCAAGCTTCTATGGAATTTCCAGGACTGTTTTCCCATTTTCCGGCCTCATACTCAATAGTGACGTAACTGGTGACGAAGATGAAGTTGGCAGAATCCTTAATTATCTTTACTGTTCAATAGCGAATAAGAACATCCAAAGATCATCATCAATCTATTATTATCATTGAATCTGAAACAATCAATAAAATTTACAATAAATTTCAGAAAATTCGAGGTACTTATTGAAGAGCAAAATTACCATTTTACGGTCTCAAGTCTAAACGTTTGAACCATCCTTGTCGCTGAAGATCCTCTCTCATGTTTAAGGGAGCATCTGAAACAAATAACACAATAATATTTAAAAGACAATAAATAAATAACAATGCAGATGAATACAATTTTAATTAAGAACATTATTATTATTTAAAAAGCAACAGTGTATAAAAAGAAAAGGTTTATTGTTAGGGACGCCTCCTGCACAGCTATTTTGAAATCCTTAAACGTTCAAAATGTTCAATAAATTTTACTAATCACTGATTATATCTAGTGAAAATGTGTTAAAAAGATGTCAGGAAATAAATAAAATGTTTTAAATTAATACATTTTATTGTGAACTTTTACTTTTAACTGAAAAAAAACAAAAAAGTTTAAATTAATATCCAATTGATTATTTCGCGAAAAATATCAGAAAATAGTAA